AATACAAGAGGCAAACAAAAAATCAGTAAGAACATAGATTTAAACAAACCAATTAGCAATCTTGACTAAGTGGACAGAACATGGCACCCAACAATCGTAGATTACACATTCTTTTCAAGCACACATAGATCATTTACCAAAACTGGCCATAACCTGGGACATAAAGCAAGTATCAACACATGTCAAGTGGCTGAAATCAATGTAGAGTATGTTCTCTGACTACAGTGCAACTAAGCTAGAAATCAATAACAAAAAGATAACCAAAATCTCAATATGTTTGGTAATTAGGAAAAATGCTTCTAAATAACTCAGGGATCAAAAAAGACATAATAATGGAAATTAGAAATATTTTGAACGGAATGATCATGAAAACACTACATATCAACACTTGTGAGGGCCGGCTCTGTGGCTTAGCGGTTAAGTGCGCGCTCTCCGCTACTGGTGGCCTGGGTTCGGATCCCGGGCGTGCACCAACGCACCGCTTCTCCGGCCATGCTGAGGCTGTGTCCCACATACAGCAACTAGAAGGATGTGCAACTATGACATACAACTATCTACTGGGGCTTTGGGGGAAAAATAAATAAATAAAATTATAAAAAAAAAAAAAAAAAAACTTGTGGGATGCTTGTAAAGACATGCTTAGAGGGAAATTTTATAGCTGGAACTGATTATATTAGAAAATAAGACAAGCTGCATATTAGTTAGCTGAGCATCCATCACACGAAGTTAGAAAAAGACCAGCAAAATAACACCAAAAAAGTAGGAGGATGGAATTAATAAAAATAAGAAGAGAAATTGATGAAATGGAAAAGAAACATCCAGTAGAGAAGATCAATAAAGCCAAAAATTGGTTCTTTGAAAGGACTAATAAAATGACAAACCTGTAGCAAGATTGAGCAAGGAAAAATAACGGAGACACAACCCACATTAGGAATGAAAAGGACATCACTACAGATGGTGTAGACAGTAAACAGATAAGAGAATATTGTGAACAACCTTATGTCAATAAATTTCAAATTTTAGATATAATGGACAAAATCCTAGAAAAATGTAAGTTGCCAGAAATTATAATGAAGAAATAAAAATCTGGATAATTTTATCACCATTAAAGAAATGAAATCAGTAGTCAAGAAATTTCACATAAATCAAACTCCAGTCTCATAAGACTTCACTGGTGAGTTCTACCAAACACTTAAGAAAAAAGCGTTATTTCAGTCCTACCCAAGCTCTTTAGAGCATATAAAGAGAGAGAACTCCCCAACACTTTTTATAAGGCATAACCTTGGTACCAGAACCTCATTAGGACATTAGGGGAACAGGAAATTATAGACCTCTCTTACTTCCTAATTAAAAAAATAGCAAAATGAATCCATCCACACATTAAAAAGATAATATATCTTGACCTAATCGAGTTTATCTCAGGAATGCAATGTAAAGATTAGAAAGTTAATCAATGCAATCCACTAGGTTAACTGACTAAAGGTGAAAAATCACACAATCATTTCAAGAGTTGCAGAAAAAGCATTTAACAAAACTCATTTATGAGGAAAGCTCTTAAACTAGGAATAGCTGGGAGTGTCTCTTAAAGTAACATGTTTGTCAGGATCAGGCTAGGCTGCAATAACAAATCCCCCAAATTCGGGAGCTTAAAACGTTAAATAAAGTTTGTCTCTCATCAGATAAATCCCAGGTAGGTCCAGCAGGTCTACAGGGCAGTTCCTTTCCAAGCTGTGTCTCAGAGATCCTAGCAGGCCCCATCTGTGGCTTTGCTAACTTAATAGTTGCTTTCAGGTTCACCACGAGAGAGCTGGAGGGTCACACAAGAGTTTTTATGGCCAAGGCTAGATGGGGCATACCTCACTTCCACCCACATCCCATTGACTGTCACTCAGTCAAATTACATAAACCCAACCTGATTTCAAGAGGAACAGAATTATTAGCTTACTATGTGCCCAGAAAGAGGAAAATAAAAATGGGTCTTAATGAACACATGGCATTGTCTGTACCACAACTGAAAAAGGATATCTACAGAAAACTCACAGCAAACATCATACGTAATAATGAAACATGAAAGCTTTGCCTCTAATCGTGCGAGGAAGACAAGGATGCCTGCTAACACCGTCTCTATTCAGCATTATACTAGAGGTCTTATACAACAAGAAAAATAAATAAAAGATAAGGATTGGAAATGAAGCAGCAAAATTGTCCCTATTTTCAAATGGTATTATTTTGGACATGGAAGAGTGAAAAGATTCTGCAGATAAACTGTTAGAATTAATAAGAGAGTTTAGCAAGGTTACCAATACACATTGAAGATACCGAAATCAATTATATTTCTACTTATCAGCAACAAACAGAAAAAAAGTATTTTTTAAAAATGCCATTTACAGTGGCATCAAAAAAATCAAATATCTAGGAATAAATCTTACAAAAGATTTGTAAGTACTCTACAAGAAAAGTTGTAAAACTTTATTTAGAGACATTTAAGAAGACCTAAATAAATGGAAAGATATACCATGCTCATGGAGTGGAAGGCTCAATATTGTAAGGATATCAGTTCTCTCTAAATTGAATTATAGCTTCAATTCAATTCCTATAAAAATTTCAGCATTTTGTTTTTTTTTTTTTTGGTGGTGACAATTTCATTTTTCTGGAGCTTGGCAAGCTCTTTCTAAAATTTATATGGAAAATGCAAAAAGTCAAGAATTGCTGACACTATTAAAAAAGAACAAAGTGGGAGGGTTTTCTTAACTAGATGTTAAGATGTACAATAAAGCTAAACTAAGCAAAGTAGTGTGACCTTGAGCAAAGACAGGCATATAGAGCAACAAGACAGAATAGAGAGAGAGACTGTTTCTGTACCTGTGGACACTTAATGTTCTACATGGGTGGCAATGCACACAACAGAGTGGAGGGGGTCTTTTTATTAAACATTGCTGGAATAATTGACTATCCCAATGGAAAATAACTTAATAGAACTCACATCATGCACAAAGACCCAAGTGTGAAAAACAAAACTATAAAAAAATATTATATTATGAGATAATACAGGAAAATGTCTTCATAACACAAAATGCACTAGCCATAAAGGAAAAAACTAATAACCCAACTACATTAAAATTAAGAACTTTTGTTTTCAAAAGATTCCGTAAAAGAGTAAGACAAGCCATAAATTAAGAGAAGATATTCATGACACAATAACCAGCCAACAAAGGGTTAGTATTTGGAATATGTGAAGTACTCTACAAATGAGTGATAAAAAGGCAGACAACCCAAAATATGGGCAAAAGATTTGAACAAGCACTTCACAAAAAATTAAGCTTGAATGTTTAATAATATATATGAATAAATGCTCAGCCTCATTAGTAAGCAGGAAAATGAACATTAAAACCACAATGAGATGTAACAACACATCTGTCAGGGTGGGAATATCCTGAGAATAACCCCATATGGCCTGGTGTGGAGCAAAGGGAACTCAGACACCCGCCGCTGGAGGGTGAAGAGCTGCAACCACTTTAGAAAACTGTTTGACATTGTCCAGTAAAGCTGCAAAGACACCCCCCCATGACTCAGCAGTTCCACTCTTAAGTAAGTAACCTAAGAAATAATATGTGCTTTTGTGCACAGGGAGACTTAATGCAAGCATTTTCACAGCAGCATTGTTTGTAATTGTCTAATCAAACCAAGTCCGTCAACAGTAAAATATTAAAACAGTAAAATCAATTATTTGGTATATAATCCTGCAGTGGAATATTTTGCAGCAATAAAACTGGTTGGACTACATGAATTTTATTTACATAAAGTGAAAAAGGCTTAACAAAAGAATACATCTAGTATGAATCCGTTTATAAAAGTTTCAGAAGCAGGCAAAATGAATCTGTTTTTTAAGGATGCATAAATACATGGTAAAGCTGTAAAAGAAAGCAAGAGAATGTTATAAAAATAAGAATAACGATTAACTTCCGACAGAGTAGGGGTTGTGATAGGGAATTCTGGTGTTCCAGAATGTTCTGTATCTTAACCTAGGTGTTGATTAAAGCGGGATAGACTTTATAACTCTTCATCAAACCGTATGTGTTTTATGCCCTTTTATGTGCCTGTTATATTTCATAATACATTTTTGATATATACTATATATTATCTCACTACATAAACATTATCTAATTTCATCCTTACCACAAGGTCCTACCAAGGAGGTATTATCCCATTTTACAGATAGGAAACCTGAAGTTCAAATGGCTAAGTATTTTATTTTTCCAAATAGCTCAATAATTCACCTAAGGCATCCTAGTAAGCGATGGGGCTGCAGCTCCCACCCCAGGCTCCTTGAGTCCCAGTCATACTTTTTCCATGATGGTTCTCTGTAGCTTCTTCAATGTCCTTGTAGCTCTATACTTAAAATTCTCCAGTCCCTGCACCACGCAGCATCGCTCATCAGCACAGCCCATGTCTTTTCCAAAGTAGGCCTTCCCATTACCTTAGCAGCACATTCCTCCAAAGCCAGTCGTGGGTCTATGCAATCTACTTCCCATCACCCACCTGCCTAGTTCATGCTAAACCCCATCCCTTCATCTTTGATCCACAAAATCCCCTATTTTTTTCTAAGAAACTGTATGTAACTATTCTCCCATACATGATTCGAGGATGATAGTGCCCCTGTGAAGTCCCACAGAGGGGAAGTCATGATGTTCCTCAGACGTATTCTGACCCTAACTATCTACATTGCTATATGGGAGCCTCGCCTGGCTCCTCCCTCACAGCCATCCTCTCAGGAGAAGTACTTCTCTGGGTTGTAGAAGACTCTGGAGGAGAGGCACATGGTCCCTGAGGTGGTGCCTTTATCTTGCTCAGGGGAGCTGGCCCCCCCAGAGAGAATGCCGGTGTTGGTGGGGGGGGTCTGCTCCCACTCAGGATGAGGCACGGAGATTTTTAGCACCTCCCTGAACTCAGGCTGCCAGGTGGCGAGCGTTTGGGCAGCACCACCGTTCTCCCTTGCCTAGGGATGTACCAGGTGATCGGGGGTATCATCTCTCCTGTCAACGACAAGTACGGGAAGAAAGACCTCGTGGCTGCCCGGCACCGGGTGGCCATGGCCCGGCTGGCCCTGCAGACGTCCGACTGGATCCGGGTGGACCCCTGGGAGAGTGAGCAGGCGCAGTGGATGGAGACGGTGAAGGTGCTGAGGTAATGGTGGGCACGCTCTCCTGTGATGACAGAGGCCACAGGACGCATCTGCAGAACCCGTGGGGTGAAAGGTAGGGGCGGAGTGGTGAGTGGGCCATCAGCCAGGCCTTCTCAGCCAGAATCCAAGATGTGTTTCTCCTTAGAGGGAGAGAGACCAACAGACACGGTCTCAGAGAGGTCCTGGGCGAAGAACATCACTAACCACTGCCTGCCCTGCAGGAGGCACTTTGTGGAAAGGTCTAGTCTTGTTTCCGAGGGCTGTAGCATCGGGGCCCCAGTGCCACCACTTAGAGGCTGTATGACTTTAGGCACTTGACTTAACTTCTCTGAGACACATTTCTCACTTGCAAAATGGGGACAATAAAACCTAATGAGGATTTTAAAAATGTAAAAAACTTTTCTGACCCAGAACCACATAAGAATATTCAGTAAGTGGGACCTTTTTTTATTGTGTTCACTGAGTAGGTTGAAAACAGCATCTACTGAATAAGTCATCTTTTCTAATTGTACAAATCCTGGGTTCTATAAATCTAGACTTTTATGTAAAACTGAAGGAAAAAACACTATAAATCTAGACATAGGTGCTTGGGATATTTTTCTTTTGGAATTGCTGTTAGCATTCAGTATAAGTAAGTTGCTGTTTGAAAGTCCCACAAGTCCCGCATGTAGGACGATGGGTCACTGCCTCGTGTCTGGGAAACCTGACCAGGAGTTTGATGGAGAGGCAGGAAGTCCCTCTGTCCTGGCTGTCGGTGGGAACTGTGAGGTGGACCTGTCTGTCACTAATGACAGCCGGCTCTGCCGGAAGGGTTTGCAGACTGTGGGCTGTCTCTCTTCTCTATTTGGGAGCACTAGGATCATCAGGGAATAGGAAGCACAAGGGAAAGGTTGAATAACTAGCAGGCCTGTTCATAATCTGTTTTGGTTTTTGTTTTTTATATCTTCAAAGTCACTCAGGAGAAAAATGTTTACCTTTTTAGTAGAAGTAAACATTTAGGTACATATCCTGGTTCTTATTATTTACCTTTTACTTGGGAAGGAATTCAGCAGTTACAGTGCTACTTCAGAAGCTGTTGCCAATTGAAAGGAGAGCAAATATGAAATAATTGTTAGGACACATGCTTTTTTTTAACATAAGGAATAAATTTACACCTAGATCATCCCCTCAGAATAAGCAGTATAGTCAGCTCTCATTTATCTAGTCTAACAGAGGGGCCTAGAAACAAAACAACAGATAATCCGACAAATCATTCAGCATTAACAGTAGTTAGAGCAAATAGACACTTTCCACCTCCACCCTGTGAGAGGCAGTGGGGCCGAGGGCCCAGATTTTGGAGCCCACTTTACTAGTTGAGTGACTTGACATAAAGTGAGTTAGCCTCTCTGAGCCTCAATTCCTCCCTAATAAAGTGGGGATGACACCACCTACTTCACTGGGTACAGTGTGAATTAAATGGGATGGTGTAGGCAGAACACCTGGTTTATGGCAGGTGCTTAATGTTCGCTCCCTTCACTGTATCCCTAGCACTAGCCCATAACTTATCCTCAAAACAGATAAGCCATTCTCAGGTAAATTGAAACTGACCACAGCACTACATAATACTACTAGTGCTTCTGCTGCAAAATGCAGGTGTGAGCTAAGATTTTACCCAACACATTCTTTTCCTTTTTTTACTTTATCCTTTAGTTCAGTGCTTCTCAGCCCTAGCTGCACATTGAATCACCTAGGGAGGTTTCAGAATTATCGATGCCTGAGTCTTACCCCAGAGATGGATGTCATTGGCCTGGAGTAGGACATCAGGATTTTTAGAGCTCCTTGGTGATTTTAACGTGTGGCCAGGATTGAGGTCACAACCTCAGTCACCAAGTATGTGAATCATGCCTCTGATTAGTACCAAGATCCATCCAAACCAGGGGTCTCAACTCTGGCTGTAGAAGTTGGGAAGCTTTTTTAAATACTCAAACTCCTCCCCCCAACCCCTCCAGATTATGATTTGTCTGGGGTGGTGTCTAAGCATGGGTATTTTTTAAAATGTTCTGAAATGATTTATTTTGTGCAGCCAAGGTTGAGAATCTACTGATATAAATAGTCAATGCCATTTTATCGGATAACTGATTAAGATTTTTTTTTTCCAGTATTTGGAGTGAGCTTCATTTCCAGAGTGTATCCATTGCATTAGAAAATTTGATTGCTAGTGTTTTCCTAAAACTACCAAAAGCATTTTTTTTAAGTTGAAAATCTGGTTAAAATTATAAAGTTAGGTGATTGTAGAAACGTGGTAGAAGTCTACCCCACGCTTTGCTCCATTTAGTACCTTCTTGATAGAGGCAACAGTGCGTTTACATCATGGCGACAGTGACAGATGTCACTATGAAATAAATTCACTGTGAGGCTTACTGAGGATTCTTTTTCTCCTTATCACGTTGCTTACTTTTACTCTAATTTTTTTAATCTAGGCCAGCTTTCATGCTTTTAGAGCATTTGATAACTTATTTCACTCACCTTTTCCCCATGTTGTGGGGGGAGGGCCTTGGTCACACTGCCACTTGACGTGGTCCGTCATCATCGTCGTCGTCTCATGTACCCCTTTGCATACATGACCTTATGTTGTCCTCATTTTACAGATGAAGAAACTGAGGTTCAGAGAGGCTAAGATAATCACAGTCACACAACAAATGAGCAAGTGGTGGAGCCCCAGTCTGTTTGACTCTGAAGCCATGCTTATGGCCATCTTCAAAACCAGTGATCTACAGGTGGGGGCATAATGTGGCTGCCTTTGCTCCTGCCACAGTGACCCTCTGATCGGGCATCCCTGGAGAACAGTGGGGCTACTGACCACAGGGAACACCCTCTCAGGGTCAGGCCCAGGGCTAGGCACACCAGGGGACAGGGCAGGCAGGCGACAAGAGGAAGCAGTGGCCACTGCCCCACAGGGCAGGGTGGAGGTCTGTGAGGAGGACACAGTTGGCACTGAGAGTAATCACTTGCACACCAGAGTTCAGAGATCCAGCTAACGTTCAAAGTAGGGGCAACTTGAACTGGGAGTTTCAAGGTAAGTAAAATAAGATGATGATCACCACCTTTTTTTGTGTGTGTGTGAGGAAGATCAGCCCTGAGCTAACATCCATGCTAATCCTCCTCTTTTTGCTGAGGAAGACCGGCTCTGAGCTAACATCTATTGCCAATCCTCCTCCTTTTTTTCCCCAAAGCCCTAGTAGATAGTTGTATGTCATAGTTGCACATCCTGCTAGTTGCTGTATGTGGGACGCGGCCTCAGCGTGGCCGTAGAAGCGGTGCATCGGTGCGCGCCCGGGATCCAAACCCGGGCCGCCAGTAGCGGAGCGCGTGCACTTAACCGCTAAGCCACGGGGCCAGCCCTGATCACCACCTTTTATTGATCCCCTACTGTGTGTGCCAGGCTCTTTCCAGCATATATCTACTCAGCTCAGCAACTCTGAGGAGTAGGGGGGCTTAGCCCCATTTTACAGATGAGGAAATAGAGGCTCTGAAAGGGTCAGTAACATCCTCAAAGTCCTACAGTTAGAAGGTGGAGGTGAGCCTCCAGGCTCCTTCAGTCTGCTGCTAGATTCCGGAATAACCGAGGAGAGACTCCTCACAGATGGAGCTTCCTGAACCACAGTAATAAGACGTGAACGACACACAGACAGAGTCCAGCGGGGCCCTGAGAAGACTCATCCAAGTCTCTGAGATCACCAGAAAGGACTTTGGATCAGAATTAAATGTTTATTCTTCCATCGTTTGACTTTAGGTCAGCGGTTCCTAGGTACTAAGAATATAAGGATGAATTAAATGAGCTCCCTGTTCACAGTCGGGTGGGGAAGGTAGACTGAGAGTAATGATGGTAAGAATAGCTGATGTTTATTGGGCGCCTTCTGTATATGGGCCGGTGCTAAGCTCTTCAGTTAATCCTCACAGCAGCTCTCTGGGGCGGGTACTGTCCTTATGCCCCATTCCACAGATGAGAAAACTGGAGGCAGATTGCCCGAGGAACCCACCAAGATTGCACAGCTACAAGCCTGAACCAGAATTCCAACCCGGGCAGTCTAATCCTGGAACATAACCTGTACGCTGCCCCTCTCCCCATAGTAATCAGCATTGAGCCCTTGCCCAGCATCTGGAGGGTAGAAGCACTTTCTCCTTCATGGTCTTGTGATGCTCTGTGTATACGGCCGGCATTAACTTTCATGACCAATTAACAGACAAGGTCAATGAGCCTCTGAGATGTTAGTGATGCATCCAAGGTCATACACGGAGGAGAACCTCAACTTGAACCCACCCATTCTGGCTGCAAAGCACATGCGTCTTCCACCAGGCACTGGTCCCTCCCAAGTACAGCTCTAATAAGTGCATAATACGGTAGGTGGAAGAGGGAAAATCATGTTGATACAAGACGTAGCGATTACGTTGTTTGAGTAAAAAGAAGATGCAGGTACCTCTTGATTCGCAGAAGATAGATTGCTAAAAGAGCACGCGTGCCCAGTTGGTGTAAGTCTAATCACGTCTGAGCTGCTGACGTGTAATGAGATCTGCTTGTGCTTCGCACTCTGCGGTGCCTTTTCGTGCCTAACTCCTTGAATCTTCACGACCACCCGCCAGAGGCAGGCACTGTCGTTCCTCGTTTTGCAGGTGCTGAGCCATCCACACAGAGACCTGAACCACCCGCTCAGGGTCACACAGCTGACTGGAGAGGAGCTGGGATTCTCTGAGGCAGTCTGGCTCCCAGCCAGACTCTTAGCCATCCATCCCGCTGTGGACTTCCAAGATACTAGCTTATGATGAGAGCGAGCCTGTGTTTTGAGAGCCAGCTGGAGGCCAGGCCCTGTGCCAGTGCTTCCTGTGTAGCAGCTCATTTACCTTCACAAAAGTCTAAAAAAGAGGTGTTCTTATCCCAGCTTTACAAATGGAAATTTGTATTTTGAACTCAAGTCTGTCTGATCCTGGTAGACCATGTCCTTAATCCCTACTCAACATTTTTTTTTAAGTGAGATATTGAAAGAAAATGTTAAAAGAGTAGAAATATGCTCTTTCCCCGCTGTCACCCTGGGCTCGCAGGAGGCAGTGACCGTCTTGGTTAGCGCGCTCTGGGAGGACCCCGACGCCTCTGCTTTCTGTCCTGGCATCTGGCCCAGGGCCTGGGACATAGTAGGCCCTCAACAAATATTTGTGGGCTGAGCCACCTAAAATGGACCAAAGCAGGTTGAGACTGAAGATCCAAGACCCACTGGGTGGCTTTGGGGGATTGTGGGCCCCTCGGACACGCCCTGAGCGTCTGTTTACCACGCAGGCACCACCACCGCGAACTGCTCAGATCCCTGCCCCAGAAGGAAGGCCCGGACCGAGACAAGGCTCTCCCTGCGGCCCCCACAGGTGGGTGTGACCTTGTCTGTCAGGGACTCGGGTGAGGACTGATGGCAGTCACACCCCTCTGGGCATGGAGGATTCTGAGGCCCGCCTGGGTGGGGTGACACTTCCCAGGTTGAAAGGCCAAATTAAACGATCCGCCACCACCCCTTGTAAACCGTTATGCTAATGTGGGATTTTCTGCCTTGTGACCTGTGCTTGTGACGTGGATTACTGTCAGGGCTACACACTGGGGAGTGTGACGCCGGGGCTCTTTTAAAATCCTTAGCCTTTTGCACACAAAATGTGCCATTATAACCCTGAAGGTGAGAGACGAGTGCTTGTAGCAGTGTTACTCAGTGGTTTACTCAGAAGAGGAAACCATTTTTAAGGGAATATAAAGTCGATTTGGATTATCTTTTCAATGTGTAACCCTGGGTTTCCACCCTCTTGTCAGCTCTTGGTGTTTGATGGAACCTTGTCAGCTGTGATTTCCAAGTCTCTTCCTTCTCTAAGGGCAGCCCTGGTGCTGGGGTCAAATGCCCCTCATGCAAATCCACAAGAGCACCAGGAGATGGGAGGGCAGGATGTGACACGAGCAGGGAGTCACCGGTCCCACTGGCCAACATTCCGGCAGGCCCATCTGCAGGGTTTCCCACTGTGGCTCCCCCGCCTTGGGTTGGTGGGACCCTATTTCCAGATCAGAAGGGCTGGGGAATGTCACGGTTAAACAAACCTAAGATGCTCTCTTTCCGGCAGGACTTTTCAGAGCCTTGACTCTGTTCAAGTGCATTGTGACCCCACAGGAAAGGGACATAGCCTGCAGCCATTATCACTTGTTAATCATGAGACTCTTTTGAATGCATATTAGTAGTTCTCAGAACTAGGATCGCCAGAACACAGACTGGGAAACGCTCTTCCAAAAAGACTTGAAAAGGCCACCAGGCCCTGAAGGTGTCATGCAGCAGTCCCCAAATGCTGGTGGAAGGATCACTCACTGCAGAATCGCCTGAGAGGCTTATTAAAAACACTAATTCCGGGGCTGGCCCCAGACCTCCTGAGTGGGGATGGGGCCTGGGACTTGGGATGTTTAATAGGCACTTGGGGGATCTGCTTTACTGCAGTTTAGGGAACTGTACTAGAGTATGAATCAGAGAAAAAAAGCAAGTTAGGGAGTCTCCTGTATAATCAGTTTACACAGTGTTTATTGTGTTCCTCTGGTCTCTGCCTGCCTCTCCTCTGTTGCCTGCATGGGCTTCTCCCCACCGCCCCCCACTCATGAGCACAGCAGAGCATTAATTCTCAGCCTTCTGCCTTCTCCCTGAATTATCTCTGGCTCAGCAGTCACTCCTAATAGGACTCTCGAGAAGCTCGCAGAATACAGCCCAGAGCCTCAGGGTAAGAACAGAGACAGCCTGCCCCAGCCCCTGACCCTGGCTGGAGCCGAGCTGTGAATGGTGGAGTCCAGGCACAGATGAGGAAGGCTGCCTGGAGGAGGAGACACCTGCACGAAACTCATAGGATCAGTAGGTTATCTGGGGTTGGGGCATTTCTGGGCAGAGGGGCAGCTGAGCAAGGCACAAAGTGTAAGCTTAGTTGGGCGTTCCGTGCCATTGGGCATGCCGGGGCTCCAGTGAGAGGGAGGAAGCTGCCATTGAGGTGGGAGGGATGCCACGCTGAGGCTCCACCTTCTCACACTTCCCGTCTCTGCAAGTGCTTCCAGAATCCCTGTCTCTTCGCCTGGCCTGCCCTTCTCCCCCTTCCCTTCTTGGCTCCCCTATTGAAAACCTATCTGTCCTGTGAGGCCCAGTTTGCAACCTACCTTCCCCATGGAACCAGCCCCCGCTGCTTTCCCTGAGATGGGCTCTCTCCTTCCGTCCACCAAAGCTCACCCCACGTTCTTTGCAGATTGATTTCTGTAGGGGCTGCTAGCCTACTCTGCTTAGCCCTATAAGGTTGGGAGTTTTTCCTGTATCCCTTCTCTTTCTGTTCAAACCCTAAATCCTACTCACCTTGTTCTCTTCTAAAGTAACTGTTAGAAAAGGAAGTTTACATTGAATGAAAAGTGGGCTTTTCGATTTACCAAAATATATCAGGGGCTTTAAAAATGTTCATGCCCTTTGCTCAATGTATTCCCCTCCAGGAATCTGGCTGAGGAAATAATTAGAGATTGGGACAAAGATTTATGCAGAAAGATGTTTATCACAGCAATCTTTATAAGAGCCAAAAATAAAAGCAACCTCAATATTTAAATATAAGGGAATGTGTAAGTAGATGATACTGTATACATAGGACGAAGAATCTACACAAAAGGTTTTCATGATATGGAGAAACACTTATGAGGTAAGTGGAAAAAAATCAGGATACAGTACATATTATATAAAAAATATGTAAATATACATTCACATCTATTTACATGTCTAAATTGATAGAAAAGACTAAAAAGTACACCAAAATATTAACAGTTTTTGTAGAAAGCAGAATTATTGTTAATTGTTGTTTTCTATTTTAAATATGTATTTTCCATACATTCCATAATTGACACGGGTTTCCTGTTTATAATCGGAAAAACAACTAGGGTGATTAAAAAAAGAAAGGTAGACATTTTCTCCGCATTAAGTGTGGCTTTTGATGAGACGACTTGCATGTTTCCCGTGACCTATTTCCAAAGGGCCCTTTTGTGTGCTGTGCATTTTGCTGTGTGCTCTTCTGCTCTGGGATTGCAGGCTACGGGCTGGGCTCAGCGCTTCCTGGCTGCCGGAGCCTGCCTTCCCGTCACTCCTGTGATGTGCAGTCCTCCTCGGACTCACCCAGAGTCACGTGGGTGCTGCTCGCGTGTGACCCTTTGGGATGAATGATGTCTCAGTCCTGTGATGGCCTGACTGTGTCTTGTCTTTTGTGAAGGTGGTGCCTGCCCTCGGCTGGTGGGGCTGAGCACAGCTCAGCAACCTTCAGAAGATCTCCCCACAGACCAGAGCAGGACTTCCCCTGGTTCCATTTTGCACTGACTGTTCCAGGGCAGCTTTGTCTGGTTCCTTTGGGTGCTGCCCTTCAGATGCCAGTACCTGGCTTCATCTGTGGTGTCCTCCTGTTTAGACTCAGAGGTCCCACACTCCTGCGTGTGTCTACGTGGCCTGTGTGGCCGTGTTCACACGCTGCACTGGGCAGGAAATTCACACTGCATTCGCTCCATCCCTCAACTTCCATAACTGCCAAAGGAGGCTTTATTATCCCCTTTTCACAGCTGAGGAAACAGGCCATCGGCTACAGCCATCCCGGGTCCCAGCGGATGGGAAACTCAAACCCAGGCTGACTGACCGCAGGGTCGGTGCCCTTTATGTCAAAGAGTTGCAGCAACTGGACGTTCAAAGAAAAGGTCCTGGTGGCACTTCCCTCACATTCTGTGTAAATCTCTCCTTCATCTGCTTTTCAAAGCCTGCAACTATTCAAAGGCAGCACACTGCCCCCCAAACACTCCCCACATCCTATTTATATCACTGTTAAGACAAATCACATTGGCAGCCTTTGTTCAACGCCTCAAAGGTACGTACTTGGGACTTGGACAGTCAGTCACTAGATCTGAAGACTCTAGTGGTGACGTGACTGGATTTGAAGGGGTGTGGGCGTGCCTCTGTGAGGCCTGACGGCAGGACGGCCCAGAGCTGGGGTCTGAGGCACCGGCCCCACAGACATGCCTCTGACTTGAGGGACGAGGCGGGGTGTGGGCACTGTCCCTGTAGGCAAGGGCTCAGAGTGAATCGTATTCCTTACCATCATTGTTAATGAATCAAACAGAATCTAATATCAAAGATGATATGTGGAAATCGTCCCCACAAAAATCCACTGGGAGAAGAAAGGGATGTGTTCTCTGTTCTCTGACCTGTGAGAACAGCAGGGTGTGTGCCCCAGGCCTCAGGAGACCCTGGAATTAAATGCACATCATTTAACCTCCCCCATAGGAAGACCACATACAAATCACCCAGGTTTTTGAAAGGTCAAACGCTGGTCTCTTGCTATATTACAATGGTTGAATAAATATGAAATTAGAATAAAACCTCACAGATGCAGAACAGTTCAAATCCATGTATATGTTGTGTGCAATGGTACCAGCCCAAATTAGTGAAAATGTGAGTTATTGAATAATTTTTAAATGCAGTTTTATTGACTTTAAAAGGCCAGGCACTTAGGAGATACTCCATAAGTGCTGAATGGATGTGTCGATGAATGGATTGGTGGATAAGTAGGTGGGTGGGTGGATGGATGGATGGATGGTAGTTAACACATATCACACTGTAGTCCAAGCACTGCTCTAAGTATTTTACATTTATAAACTTGTTCAATTGTAAAATAATCCTATAAGATAAGTATTATTAATATCCTCATTTTAAAGTTGAGGTCACCCAGCTGTTGAATGGCAGAGCCAGGATTGGAATCTAAGGTGTCTGGCTCCAGAGTCCTAGTTCTTAGCCATGGAGAATTCATGAATCTGTGCATTAATAAATGTTTGAATATCATGTCATTATACCAATCTTAGGCTGCTGGAGTGTTTGCAAAGTGTGTTTCCGTAATTACATCTGCTGCTTTAAAATGAGGAAACAAGTCTGGTGCCCATGATTTCATGGATGGGGAAACTGAGGCCCAGAGAAGGAAGGATTATGGCTCCAGCCCCAGAGCTGACTGTGCCCAACTGAGGCCGGAACTCAGACCTCTCTGTGACACCTCCAGTTTCTCACTTTCCAGTCCGTAGCTGGTCTTGCAGTCCTTTGTACACTTGTCTCTCTGGTCCACGTCCAGATTCCTGCAAAGGCTTCACAGTAGAGGAGCCTAAACTGACGGCCTTTCCCCAGCAGGGGGATCCCTGAAGCCCCTCCCAGCTGGGGTTTCAAGGTGACTGCGAGATGCCAGTGCTCTAGGAGCCCAGCCTTTGCTGTTTACTGAAGCTAGAATCGGCTTCCAGAAGGACCAGAGATCCTGCTGGGTGCTTCTAACCTGGACTTGAATTTTGCTTCCCAGCTTTGCCCATTCAAAAGGGCCGTGAGCCTGAACTAGCCAGGAAAACCGAGGAAGGGCTTCTCGGGTCTGATGCATGTACAGTGCCTGCCAGCAGGAGGCGGCAGAGCCTCAGGGTTACAAATGCCCCACCTGTAGGCTGGCTGTCAGGTCTGAATCCTGACTCGGCCTACAGTCGCTTGCCTCTCTGGCCTCAGTTTCCCCCTCCGCAAAACGGGCACAACAATAACTCCTGCCTCATGAAGCTGTTCTGAGAATCAAATGAAATGACACACACAGGGTGCTTGCCAGCAGTGCTTATTGTGAGCTCCTGGGAAATGTTAGGTATTTTATCATCACAATCATGATTATGTTAGAACAAATGCCAGAGGATTATCCACACTGATCAGTTTTTCTAGAGCTTTGTTTTATTGAAAACAGATGAAAAGGTCACCAGCTGGGGTCTTAGAGATCTATTGGTTATCCACAGATCTTTTATAATTAACCTTTATGGTGAGATTTTACTTATAGAAGGACCAAGTGTTCAGGCTGAAATAGATTTCAAGAAGGGCAGTGACTTGCCCTTGGTGGTCCCAGGGCTCTCATGACAATACCTTCTATCAGAAGATGGGGTTCAGGGTCCAGCATACTCTGGACCACTCTGCCATGGGATCCAGCAACCATAGACAGACCTGTGGTATAACACTGGAAAAAAGAAAAAAACTGTCTTGTATGACTTGGCACTTTGCCAATATTAAACAAAAGATTTATTGATTATTATAACTGTATGTCTCTGAAGTAGCTTCAGATTCATTTATATGCTTTTTCTTTTTAAGTCATGAACACAGAGGCACTGAGTTCCCCCATACATTCCAAGAACAGCATTTTGCATAATTTTCAAACAGAAGATGACGTTGTCTTTACTGGCCATGAACCTTCTGTAACTTTGCTGGGACCCGCCCTTGTTTTTCCAGCTGTGCCTGAGCTGAAGCTCCTCTGCGGGGCAGATGTCCTCAAGACCTTCCAGACCCCCCACCTCTGGAAGGATGCGCACATCCAGGAAATAGTGGAGAAATTTGGCTTGGTGTGCGTGGGCCGGGCAGGTCACGACCCAGAGCGGTCCATCTTGAGCCTGCCCATCCTGCAGAAGTACCGGCACAATGTTCACCTGGCCAGGGAGCCCGTGCAGAACGAGATCAGCGCCACGTACATCCGGCGGGCCTTGAGCCAAGGGCAGAGCGTGAAGTACCTGCTCCCCGATGCCGTCATCGACTACATCAAGGAACACAACCTCTATACCAAGGACAGTTCCTGGAAAGACAATAGCACCCAGAGGAACTAGGGAAAGACGAGCGGGGGAGGGCCAGCCACTCCTCCTCCACCGAGCTCCACCTGAGGAGACGCTGTTAGGGGCTTTGTGTTCCTTTTTTTTGCTTTTCCATCTTTCATTTGTTCTATTTTGACAGTGATTTTACTTCCGAGGCATCTTCTGTCCCAGAAAGAGACACCTTCTTTTGGGAGGAGCAGGTGTGTACATCATAGGGATGGACAGAGAAGTTAAAATGGTGTGGCAGGTCATTAGGTTTAGGCAGAAGCTCTCAGAACCTCTGGCTGCAGAGGCCGTATTTTGTAAATGGTTTCATGGCGTGCGTGCGCACTGAAGGCAGTTCTGCGCATGGCAGGGCCCCCGAGGGTCAGGTCAGAATTGCCCAAGGTGCGATTTTTAACTCGGACCAGGTGCAGCCTGCGGGGCTTGATTGGAGAGACCTGACAGGATGCTAATTACCAAACAGCGGGCTTTGTCAACGCCTCACTTCAAACAAAATAATACTAATTGAGTCAAAAATTTGGAAGCAGCACTTTGCTGATTTACATTGAACCTTCCCTCATGAGCTACTGTCTGCCTGCCTACTGGCCGTTACTAAAGTTTAAACTAAATTCTTTCTAAGTAGTGATCCTCAAACAGTATTTTTGATACAGCAGATATTTTTAACACAGCTCTTCTATAAATGCCAGGGCTCCTGATTTCCAGGTTTCTAAAAAGGAACTGAGGTAAAACAGATGCCTTGACTGTTTTAGAGGATCTTTTTGAATGTTTTATGACTGCCTGCCTGTTTGAATATTGGCAAAGGAATAAATAATAAATTGACATCAAAAAGTACTAATGAAAACTTTCTCTTTTTTCTTCTTTTGTTATATTATTCACGCCTGCTGTCCTGGTGGTTGCCCTTCTTTTTAGCTACTCCATGAAATTTGCTACTGTTCCAGTGGAACTAGCATGAATTTAAAAGTTTATGTTCCTGGGTACTAGCAGTGGAGGAAGCAATCGCTTTTCCGCACCATGCAAACGGGGCTCTAATCTGGGTCCGTGGCTCTCTTCAGGCGGGCCCTGAGAGAGGAGAACAGGAGCCTCTCGTGTGTTCAGGATTTGTGATGCCACTGCCGATTAGGAGGAGGTTTTGATTGGCCTAATTCTGTTTGAGTTTACTCTACACTTGCTGACCAGAGGACTGAATGCCTCCAGAATTTCCTTCTCCGCCCTTCTACCCGGGTGCATCCTTGTGCAGATGTAGTCGTGCAGAAACACAAAGGGCCAGCCAGGAAGAATCTGTTGTCTCCCCAGATATGTCCCAGGGTTTGCATGTGTGTCCGGACGGAGATGAGCGAAGCAGGAAATCAGTTTCCTGGGTCTAGAATAGTGGGACCCTCCTGTGGGGGTCCCCAGATTTCCACCCCTGCAGCCTCCACAGCTGCTGGCCATTCCCCATCCTGATTGAGCTCCACCTCAAGAGGTCCCTAAGGACCCTGATAATTCAGGGGAAAAGGAATCAAACAGCCTTGTTCAAAAGCTGCCACAGCAAGCGGGGAGACTTTGACTAGCTCCCTTCGCCACTGTGAGCCTCAGTTTCCCTACCTGTAAAATGAGGAGGTTTGATTAGATATCCTCTAAATTCTTTTCCAGCTCTGATTTTCTAAGACTCTGAGTGCCTCTGACTTCAGCCTGTCCACCCTTCTTTGCATCCAGTACACTTCTAGCCAGACTGGAAGCTCCCCAAGGGCAGGGGGTCTCTGTGTGTTTGTTGATATATCCCAAGGGCCTAGAAATTTGCTCCTCCAAGTGTGGTCCCTGGCCATTGGTGTTTGCATCTCCTGGGAACTGTTAGAAATGCAGACTCTCAGGCTCCTCCCCAGAGCTGCTGACTCAGAATCTGTGTTTTAATGAGATTCCCAAGCCATTCGATGCCCTGGCCTAGAACAGTGCCTGTTACAATAAATATTAGTTTATTTTAATCAACTGAATGTATGAAATTACATCACATTTACTCTGGTGAATATCTTCCTCCTTACCCTCTGAGCATCGTTGCCCCACTGTTCTGTGTGGAGTATGGAAGGCAAAGGAGGAAAAAAAAAAACCTGCCAACAGCTGTGGTGTCCGGAAAAAGCAATCAAGAGGGAGCTTGTGGGTTTGAGGCAGGGTTTCTCAACTTGGACATTATTGACGTTCTAGGCCGGATCATGCGTTGTTGCAGGAGGCTGCCCTGTGCATTGTAGGATGCTTAGCAGAGTCTCTGGTCTCTATCCATTGGATGCTAGTGGTACCCCCGCACTGTAACAACAAAAATGCCCCCAGACATTACCAAATGCCCCTGGGGCACAAAATAATCACCCTGGTTGAGACCCGCTGGTTTAAGGACATGGCTGTGGGGGGTTTGTATATGAGACAGGGCTCTGTTTCCCAAAAGGGACAATCAGGAAGCAGCAGCTTTAGAATAGTCTCCTTTGATAAAGGACTAGTTTGGGGGTGGGTCCCTACCACTCATGAAGTCGTGCTGATTCTGGGGGACACAGTGCTGTGGACAGTAGGAACTAGAAGCCACGTCCTGACTCAGAGGCACCCCCAACTTCAGTCTCCCTTTACTTCCAAGTGCCCATAATGGCTTTCTCTCCTCTGTGTTTGCAGGCGGAGGCTCCCAATACACCCTGCGCCTCAGTGCTGACACCTGGGGCCTGGCAAGTGGAGCCTCCCAATGAGGGGAAGCTGGTAGTTTCATGATTATGGTTATTATGATTCAAAACTCAGGATGCATTTATTCAAATCATCTTTATTGAGGACTTCTCATGTGCCAGGCACTAGACTAAACACCACGGGTACAATGTGAGCAAAACAGACACAATCTCTATCCTCAAGAGGCTCACAGGCCAGTGGGAGATGGAAGGATTCAGAAATTCACACGACTAAACATATGATTACAAACTGCGATCCAGGCTCTGATGGCAAATACATGTGTGCTCCAACAGCAGAGGCAGCAGGTTCCTCCGGAGCTCATGAAGCTTAAGCTCTGGTCCCTCACTTGCCCAGGCCTTTCCAGCACCCTGTAGGGGCCCGAATTATGTGGGTATCTAATTTCACATTCATGATTTTTATTCTTTTTCCAAAAAGGGGCCTTCAAAATTGCACAGGGATTCACCCTGATGACAAAGTGTAGACAGCAGGGAAGAGAGAATGGATTTGAGACCTGAAAGATGAATTCAGGAGACTTGGGGATGGGTGGAGGCAACTGGGCTTTCAGGCAGCATGAACAGCATGTACAAAGGCCCTGAGGCAGGAGAGGGCAAAATGACCAGCGCGATGAGCTAGATCCATCATCGCCTCCTTAAGAAGGGGTTTATTATGATGTGCACCTGAGAGCAAGTGTCCTTGCGTGCCACCATCTCCCTGTCCAGCCTTCCCACAGTCTCAGGGCACCAGGCCCAACTAGGCTTGGAGGAGATGCTTTCATTTCTCTGATTCATGACTGCATCATATGGCTCCCACCAAGCGAAACATCACTTTCTGAGCCTTTACATTGGTCTCGTCTAAAATAAAACAACACAACAAAACCTACCTTCTGTATATATTTCTCAATTTCTGTGCTCTCACTTTGTCTCACTGATTCATGTAGCCTCCCTTTCTTGGTATCAGAAGAGAAAATTTGTATCACGGCTGTGCCCCTGATTTATTGCGTTGACACTGCCCTGCATACCTGATTTCACATTCCTTTCCATTCCCTGAGGCCTTCTTTGCATCTAGTTTGCCAGGGAGTTTTGTTTATTTTGCAAGAACAGAAAACCAGTCGTTTGGGCTCCTGGGTAAATCGAATTTCCAGCCTTAAATAACGGTTCTCCTGTGGTGGCATCTGCTGCCCAGATGAGAGGAGCCCCATACCCCAGCTTGAGGGAAGGATTTCTCATTTGTAATACTGTCTGTGTCACTTGGGACAGAATGATGTGAAATCCCATTTGAAACCTATAGCACTCTGGATTTGCAAGGTACGTTTGGTAATTGGGTTAATACATGAATATGAATTTCCTCATCCCCATCCTCCTGCTAACAGTGTTTCTGCCTTCCCTTTACGCAACGGTCTCCATGCATAGACGGTGTTCAATTTCAGTCATGAAATTATTTTCTTGGACAAAACTCAGCATTATGGATACACATACGTGTGACTAATAAACAAATAATGCACCTGGGCACACACCTCAGAATGTTTTAGAATTGTTAAAATAACCCCAAAAGGACTTGTTCATGGCACCATAGACTGTGAAAACTAGAAGGGACCCTAAAATTCATCTGGTCCACCTTTCCCAAATTATCAAAACACTAGAATCCCACAAATTTATGAGAGTTTCACTATTAAAAACAATAATTGTGTTCTGTGGACAAGTTTGAGGAGCCCTACCCTTCTTTCTCCTGTTGGAAATCCATAATAAGTGTCTGCATGCCCTGTCAGTCTTCCTTTCTGTACATCGCTCATCTGCAGCCACTTGTCTCCATCCCTTTTGTCACCTCCCAGTCCAGACCACCATCATCTCTTCCCTGGACCACTGTAATGGCCTCCCCAATCCACTCCCAGCCCCTGCAATTCATTTTTCACATAGGAACCAGAGCAGTTTGTGTGTGTGTGCAAATCTGGTCATATTACTTCCCTGTCTCGCTCCTTCCAAGGGACACCATTAAGAAAATGGAAGACAAGCCACAGACTTGGAGAACACATTTACAAAATGTATATCTAATAATGACTTGTGTCCAGAATATGTAAAGAACTCTAACAATTCAAAATAAGAAGACTAAAAAGCCAATTAAAAAAATGATCCGAAGATTTGACTGGACAGGTGCAGGAGGCCTGATGTTACTCTGTTCTAAGAGCCTGCTTGTGAGGCTGGCCCTTGGCTGGCATCTGAGAAACTGGCTTTTGGAACGTTGCCTACGTTTCTAACTGATAAATCTGTTTTGTCTGCCTGGGGCACTGAATCCTACTGTACCAGCGTGCCTGGACTGTTTGTACAGGCAATGTGATTTATACTGAACACCTGCCCTCCTTCTAGGAGTTTGGAATTTCAGTAACCACAGCTGGTCGTGCAGGCAGAGTGCCTACATCGCCAGCCCACAATAAAAAACCCTGATTCTGAGTCTCAAGCAGGCTTTCCTGGGCAGAAACAATGCGCACTATTGCTGCATTTCACTGCTGGAGGAAGCAGGTTGTTCTGTGTGGCCCCCGCCCCAGGAGGGAGAACTTTGGAAGCCTTCCCCTGGGCTCCTCCAGACTCCGCCTGATGTGTCTTTTTCCCTGGCTAGTCCAGCTGTGTGTCCTTTTGCTGTAACTAACCCATTGCCATGAGTATAAGTGCCTCTCAGTCCTGTGAGTCTTTCACGCAAGTCACCAAGTGTGGAATCCCAGAAACAAGACACTTCAAAGAAAATATATGATGACAAATAAGCACAGAAGAGATGCTCGGCACCCTTCGTCTGTAGAGACTGAGGGGTAGTCTAATGGGGAAGTGCTGATGAGATGGCACTTCGCATCCACTACAACCGTTCAAGTCAACCCAGCAACGCCACTCCCAGGTATTCGCCCAAAAGAGAGGAAAACAGGTGTCCACTCAGACTTGTGTGTGAATGTTTATAGCAGCATCATTCATTATAGCCAAAAACGGGGAAAATTCAGATGTCCATCAATGATGAATGGATAAACAAATGTATTATATCCATGCAAGAGAATACTATCCAGCACTGAAAAGAAGGAACTAGTGATAGGTACCTGCAACAAAGTGGATGAATATCAAAGAACATGCTCAGTGAAAGAAGCCAGACATAGAAGACGACACACTGTATGATTCCAT